TCATCATCTAGTGGCACTTCGAACACTGAAGAAAGGCCACGCAGTACCAGCTGTGCATCCACACTTTCCATCTCAAACAGTCGATCAAGGACAAGAGGAGTCAAATCAAAAGTTTGCCAGAGCACATAGGATAGGAATTAGTTGGGCCTGCCTGGGAGCAGTAGAAAGGATTGTCATGTAAAGCTGGTCCAGTGAACCAAATGCTGAATCTGATTCAGTACTGTTTTGGTCTGTGACAATAGCCAGACGCTCTGTTGGGCGATAATTTTCTGTCATCAATGAACTTTATGATGGTGGATGCATAGATGAAATAGCCAGATGACTTCCACACAAGTTTATTCCAAGACATCAGGCTAGAGGCCATGGGTGTGGAATATTGGCCATGGTTCTGCTGTGCTCATCGATGAATTCGTGTGCAATTCACTGCAGAGATATTTTCGGACATCATTCAATGACTTTTCCACATTGAATAGATGGCAATGAACCATGGTAGAGTGGTGATTCAAACATCTCCTGAATATGGGCTTCTGGTCTGCTGGCAATGATAACTCGAAGAGGGAGATGATCTGCAAGAGAGTTCCTGATTGCACGCAGTATTTCCAGATGAACATGATGACCTTCACACTCATCCAGACCATCAATGAGGATTGTAACAGGGTCTCGATGTTTAGAGGTACGACAAGGTTCAGAAATCAGCTCCCGGAGCTGAGTTTCAATGGATCTGCCAACAATAGATGGATTGTTTTCCACAATTTGGGAAATTGGACCTTTCAGCCAGGGAACACCAATTGCAAGCTGATAAGCAATGGTTGCAAATAGTGCTCTTGCATTCCCACGTGTAGCATGCCCTCGTTTGAAAAAGAAGCAACCTCCAAGCCTGCCTGCATCCTGCAATTGGCAGGAGAGTGTTTGCATAATAGCAGACTTTCCTGCACCTGCAGGACCATACAGCCAAAGAATATTACTGCTTGTTGGGTCTGTCCCCAGTGTCCATTTCTGCAGATCTTTGAGCATTTTCTCACGTGTTTCGGGATGACATCTTGGTTGGGGAGAGCTCTCCACCGAGTCATGAAGAGCTTCCAATGCTACCACACTATGTAGTATGTTGATTCCTGTACTCAGTATTCAGTTCTAGTGGGGATGGATCTCATTTAAGGGCTCAACATGCCTTTTTCACCTTGGCACTGGTATGCTATGGCTCACAAATGTTCCACCATTTATGGTTGTTGGCAGTTCAAACTGTGGAGGTCCCCACAATGGAGGTAGATATCCACCCAAGCGTTCGGTTCCCTGAATGGGAAAATTATTGAATCCCTGAATTCTCGGAATGGGAACTGAGAGATATGGTTGACTCCAATCTTGCGGATGAAAATTGGGATCAATAGATAGTCTCGGTGTGCTCGCTGTGATGAGGAGCGGCATGATAGGTGATTTGTCCCCGAGATGAATTATCTGCAAGAGGGGAGTTTAATCAGTATTTAAGATACAAATCAAGTCAAAGGCTAAAGCGCACGATATGGCGTGTGTCGAGTCTGTCCCGTGTTTCGAATCTTCTTTGGACTCCAGATACTCCTGCATTGGAGGTGCCAGTCCATATATTGTCTACTGGCCTTCCCCAATCCCATGAGTGACTTGCTTCGTCTGGAGGGAGCACTAACTGCTGCTGATTGACTCGGACAGCCAGGGCATCCTGCTCGATATTTACGTCACCACCCGCAGCAATGAAGTGTCCTCCGTTAATCTGAATGCCTTGACTGTTTTCGAAGAAGGGCATGGATGGGGAGAAAGATGTGGATGGGGAGAGAGATGTGGATAGAGCGAGAGATGATTCAACAGCAACGTCTCAGTACTGCCATGATTACGATTCTGACATCATCCTCGTGGTATCTGGCAGCACTGACGTGATCAATGCTACCACGCCGTCACTGCATTGTTTCTCATTGTATCTAACTGTTGCTGTAAGTACCGATATACTCTATAACGTTTCTCCTCAATATATCAATAACGAGCCAACGCGCTACATGCTATCCCTTACATCCATTTCAAGTTTCCTCCATTAATCTGAAAGTGATTGTTTTTGGAGAAGGGTATGGATGGGAGAGATGTGGGGAGGCGCTGCCATGATTTTGAACATCATTCTCGTGGTATCCTCGTTCCTCCATGGCGTACAGCACGCTATCACTTGCGTTTGCCTTTTCGCTGGAAGCTATAGAATCGTACTATTCTTCGTCAGCCCGTTCCTATAACGCGCCAACATCACATCCAAACTGGGCCTTTCAACTTTTCTGCGACAGATTCTACTTTCTATATGCAACGTCCGCTAGATGTCATTGACGCGGTAGGTATACGACTCCGAGTGATCAAGTCAGCTATGTAAAAGGAAATCAAGGTTTAAAAGGTACTAGGTATGTGGTATGCAGATCGGTCATAAGCAGCATCATACGTAGCGACAGATCTAGAAAACAACTAGGAAAGAAAAGAAGCAGGAAGCGCAGCTTCCACATGAATACAATCAAATCGTACTGTAAAGATGGGGAGGTGATTAAAAATGTAGGGACTGGTATGTCAGGGCAGAATCAAACGTCCACGGGTGTTCATCAAAGTAATGGTTCTTCATCCATCTACTGAGAGTAGATGTTGATACTCGAGATTTGCTGTGAAAAAAAAAGATCAAGGTCAGCGTTGAACCAGAAGAAAAAGAACAGAAGACTCACCCAGTATGCCTCAGAGAAAGCAGATCCCATGTTCTGAACGTATGACGCAGCAGTAGAGTATCCAGTGGAAGACGCGCAACTAGTCTGTTGGCCACCTGCTCCGCTCGTAGACCAAACACCCTCAGTGAACGTTCCACCAAGGTTGGTATCAATGATAAGCGCAAGATCGGTGAAAGTACGTCCCAATCGCACAGTTGGTCGCCGAGAAGAACGTCTGAGCACTCCACGAGCTCGGGTTGGGACTTCCACTGGTAATATCACTCGGTACACTTCCGGCCGCCCAGTAGTTGATGTAAATCCCCGCATCGATGATCTGAATGGCATAGGTACCTCCTCCAGCATTAAATCCAGAGCCATAGGAATTGGTCTGGGAAGAGGTAGCGGCGCAGGTTTGATCTTGGTCAGCGTAAGCGTAGCAGTCGAGGTCGGAAGCGACGTTAATGGTGGAGTCGACGAGGGCGTTGACGTTGTTCTGAGTGATGGAGCAGCCTTCGGAGGTGTGGATGGACATGACGTTGTGGACGTATTCGTTGACACCTTCGATGATGTCGATTTCACCTCCGGCGGGCCAGGTTCCGCCACCGAGGAGCCAGAGAGCGGGCCAGCTGGAACAGGGAATCAGTATTAGAGATGAGATGGGAGGTAGGGTACTTACGTTCCGCATCCAGTAGGCATATGAACGATATCAAAGATCATCATAGTACCAACGTTGAAGGTCTCGGAGGAAGACAACTTCATCGAGTTTCGGAGGTTCACGTTTTCGGTGGTATCGACCCACATGAGAACGTCGCCATCAGAGTTGACAGAGATGAGGTTGTCGACGTAGTTGGCGACACCGCTGTTGTCAGAGGCGCCGGAGGAACTGTCGGTGGAAAGACGAAGTGAGTATGGGGCGGACGGGTTATGGGAAACGGAGAGTTGCTTACGCAGTAAAGTAGTTAATCAGGTTCTGACCGGTGAGAGACTGGGAGAGAGTCCAGCCGTTGGAAGAGGAGCCAGTGGCTGCTGCGGAAGCAGTACTCGCTGAAAGAGAACAAGTCAGTGCATTGATTCAGGAGACATGTATTGCTATCAACTCACAGGTCGAAGAGGCAGCAGAGGTCGAGGCGGAAGTAGAAGCGACGGTGGAAGAGACACTAGAACTGGTTGGAGCAGGGGCAATGGCTTCGGCTACGCTGACGGAAGTAGGAGAAGAGGAGTCGGCTGAAGAGCTGGAGACGGAAACAGAGCTCGAAGAGGCGACAGAGACAGAGCTGCTGCTACTGCCGCTGGAGCTCGCCCAAGCCCAGGTGATGTTTACTGAAATAATAAACTCGTCAATCACTGAAATGACGGTCGGAAAAAAGAATGCTTACAGGTACCACCGTTCAACGTTCCGGCATTCAACGCCTCGAAGGCGCTAGTCGACAAGTAGACGTCGCTATCTCCACAGACCTTGCAGTTATCGGTGGCAGTGACGTCGATAGAGGCTCCAGTGTCCGTGTTGGTAACGGTCAACTAAGGCCGAGTAAGAAAAAATCAAAACCAAAATCAAACGCAAGTCAACACACGTGTTGCCAACAATCAGCAGTGCTTGTGCCAGAGATATAGGTGGCACTGAGGCCAGCAATCATATCCGTGTCTTGAGAAACGGTTCCGCAGGCGTTGGTGGTTCCATTCTGGTAGCCATAATACGCAATTCCCTCGGACGCACGAGCACGAAGCTTGTGCATAGTACGCCTATGCAGTGCTGCATTATTGTGGTGCGAGCTGGCGGCGGCGAGTGAAGCCAGCGAAAGCGCTGCGAGTGTTGTTGTTGTTGTACTTGTTCGCATTATTGAGGAGATCCAAGATTCGTTAGAGAGTGTATTCAAGAAAAAAAGAATGGATTGGAGAGCGAGGCTCTTCGTTCGTGGACGGAATCTGGACTGGAGAGGTGGTGGTTGAAGATGAAGGGAAATTTTTCACGCTAAGCCTTATTTGGCCTTCGATCGCCAAGACAACCGTCAATTTACTGTATTGCATTGACGGCTCCTGTCGAGCACGCGCTAAAAATATTTATTCAAGTAATTTCTCCTCTCCACGACGTCGACCGAGCTGCGGACGAGGTACTGTAGTTACGACTTGTACCTCGAGAGCTCGAAAGTTCAACGAAGGCAATGACTCAACCGGGCAAGAATCATTCGTATTCATGTGCATCCGCGTGATTTGATGTGGAGCTGCGCGTCCGGAGCTCCCTAAATAAGGAAAGCCCAGTCCTCCCTAAATCCTGACATCATTTGGTCCATTATATATATTGCCCATTCAAACACTATGGCCGAGTGGTCTAAGGCACTAGATTTAGGTTTCTCGTAATCTACCTCTAGTCATTTGTGGTGTGGGTTCAAATCCCACTCTGATCAGGATTTTGCTATGTGAGTATTATTTTTCTTGCACGATGTTACAGCTTCATCCATACAAGTGCAAGGGAAGGTAAGATATGCGCAGAACAGTTTCCTCTGGTATCACATGACTTTGCGCAATGTATATTGCCAATGGAACAACAACAAGGGCATTTATTTGAGAAAAGACCTTGTTGTGTGTCGGAACTTTAATTAATTACAGACAAGGCGTCATTAGTCATTATAATGGCCATAATGGAAACTGCCGTTATAATGACATGTAATGAATCAGTCGCATTCCTAATATAGGCTCACTTTGTCATACTGGGATCGTCATAAGGGCTTCTAATAGTCGCCTGTCATAATAAGGGCTACTAATGGTCAACTGTATTACTGCTTTACTGTACTATTTATTGGTAGTTGCTTTACTAGTCGAACTTCGCTTTTTTGTAGTTACTTTAGTGGTACTTCGCGCTTTTGTGGTTGCTTTACTAGTTGTACTTCGCTTTTTGTAGTTACTTTAGTATATGCTTATTTGTAGTTACTTTACTATACTACTACTTACTTGTTTTATTGAGTACTTTGCTTCATTAGTTGTTTCAGTAGTTGTCTGTTGGATTATGTAAGCAAATTAGTGTCATATTGGAAATTTTTTTTGTGATTTACTGACCGGTTCGAACGGTAGACCTTATGGTAACGTGAGCGCTTATATTAGCACATTGAGCATACTTACCACTAAGTAACGCCGCCATATATACCTGAGAGCCCTAGCTCTATAACAGACATAGATTCTGGGCTTGTCCAGTAGCTCGCTCACTTTGGGCTTGCTTCACTTCATATCAGTATATATCTCCATTCTAGATAATAGGAGTAGTTATGTACGGTAAGAGCTGAGTTTGATTCGTTAGGAGAGCATATTAATGTAAGCAAGCACAATGACTAGTAGTAGTAAGTCCATATCACTTATCCTTCTGAGTCGCGCGCCTAGGCGGCCTTGGTTCTGCTGGAGTAACTTCACTTTGTGTTGCCTTCTTTCTCCCTCGGCCTGACGGAGCTTTGCGACCGCGACTACCATGTCGTGGTGGTGCTTCAGAATCACTGGTGCGTGCCGCCACACCTGCAAGAAGAGCCGGCACGTCCTCCTGCTCTATTTCCGACAAGTTGGCAGCAGCAGCCGTGACTGGACTGGAGGAAGCCTGAGTAGAACCGATGGCAACAGCAACAGCCTGAGTAGAACCGGCGATGACAGCAGCAGCCTGATCAGTTGAACTGGATGCAGCAGGTTCTGTTAGTTGAAGATTATCAGTGTCAACTTCAACCAGTGAAGCGATGGTCACATACCTTTTGAAAGCGTGACTGTCATCATTGCAGCAGTCATATCATCAACGTCGGAATCTTCATCACCAGCATCGCTGTCCTTGGCAACTGATACATGCAGGCCCTTGAAAACGCGATGATTCCAAAACAAAATCAGCTGTTTATAATAATCCGAGTTCTCAACACTCTTTAAAAATCTTCAAATCTTGTAGAACTCTTGATGATATGGTATGTTCAAGACCTGTCCTATCTCGACAAAGTTAACGTCGTCGGAAATGATATATTTAGCCTATATAATATCAATGTTAATCAAGTATTTCATTGTATTGAATAAACTTACTGCAATGGCAGCAAAAGCAATCATCAAGGGATTGACGGATTTCACACCCCATTGTCTTCCCACCAACCTCTCGGAAAACTTGAACTTTGTTGCAGTCAATGACTCTCGACCAAAAAGCACTAATCTCAACAGCTGCATTGATGGAAATGCTAGTCAAATATAATCAGACATTAAATCGAATAGCGCACAGTTGGTAGATATTCAACCATAAAGACAAGATGGTCATTCTTCTTCAAGTCAGGGTAATAGAGAGGAATCAGGGATTTGGGGCGATTTTCTCCTCCAAAAAAGAGCAAGTTTCGGAAGAGCAGAGAGTCCTTCCGTGTCGATCCTGAACTGAGGTCCCATAGATCGGCTGGAAGCCCTAGCTTACCAAAAATAATGGATGCACTTGCACGGATGTTGTGAAGTGCGGTACTGCAAGAACCATTCACTTGAGTAGGTAACTATGGCAAGAGATAACTTTAGTAAATGGAAATCCACTGCTATTTGAATGTACTGCATCACGGAAAGGTGCATAGGACTGTGCTTGTTCCTGCATCTCTGGCTCACTTGAGAGATAAGCAAGCAGCTCGGATGTAGCACCACACTGGTAGGTTTCAAAGGAAGAAAAGTGTTTGACTGAATCAGGCTCGAGTGCATCTGGAGCAGGAGAGACAATAAACATGCTAGAGCGGACCCAAGGACTGATCACCACTGCGTATTTCTTCCCCCAAAGAACAATCTTATGATGGTTTAGAAGGGGATTGTTCCTCTTCCTATTTTGCCCGCCAGTGCCACTCAATCTCTTCGCATCCTTCAGTTGATTTTTGAGGAGACTGACTTGATTTCGGAGCTTCTCATTGTGCCGAAGAAGTGTTTCTTCGCATTCTTGACTAGTGGAGAGAGCCTAGCATTGTAAAATTCAGTCAAATGCAGAAACTTTAGGAGATTTCTTACCCTGCGAAAGTCATTCATTGTGGGATTGGTAGTTGGAAGAACAAAAGGGACATAATTATCATTGGCAGAAATGTCCGAGAGATTGTCATCATCGTTGCTGCTTGACATAGTGACGGTAAAGAGGAAGTTGTAGGTCCCGTTGAGATCATTTTGCGCGCCTCGCAAACTTTTCAATTGAATTCAATCAGAGCTTATTACTCACACCAATTTCAGAAAGTTTTTGCTAAAAGACAATGCTAATAAATACACAATAATACCTCTCGTCCATACCCTCTTGAGTGTACCAATGCAAGAAGGCCTTACACTTGAAAATGGTGGTAAAACACAGTGGCAACCTATAGAATCGGTCAGAATCAGTTTTAGACACTGTAAGATTTTACATACAGTATGGTCTTGGATCTGAGGCAGTCATCATGTTCATGGCATTGAACATCTGTGAGGTGAGCTCGGGAACAGTAATGGCACGGTATTGCTGGCAACTGCGGTTACCCAAGAAAGTAACAGTGATCTTAAGACCCCCCAAAGCAACCTTACACTGCGCGCTGAGGACATTGTCCATGATCCATTTGACAAAGTAAGCTGAGTTCTTGTTCTGGACATTCCGCATCTGTTCCTCAACCTCCTTCATGGACACCTTTCCACGGAACACAGCGGTGACCTATAAATTTGGTCAGAATCAATGCTAGATGCTGTAAGATTTGACATACATTAAGGTAACAACCATGTCTTGGATCTGAGAAGATGTTAAAGAAGGTGCAGCCACTAACGCTGTTACACATTGTTGTACAATCTGTAAGAACAGCAGTCAGCACATAGAAGATGATTGGAACGTACATGTACTTACCAGCGACAGTGTCAACGAGTCCATAAGTGATGTAATACGAAGCTTGAGTCGCACAGGTCAGGTTGCTGAATGTCTCCGTGTAGCCAGATCTGGAGGTTCCAGACGGGCACTGGATGCACTTGGATGACCCAGCTTTCTTCAGAGTTGTGCAAGTATTCTACAAGCAAAAGTCAGTCATGCATTCACCCAACTATGAGAAAGCCTTCAAACGCTTACCAAGTCCTTCAGGTTAGGAACTCCAGTAGGGGTTGAACTGCTACTGTAGCACGAGCCGGGTTTTCCACCGTTCCATGGAGTTTTCCCCTTCAATGTCGAGAAGGACGTTGCCAAGATAAAGGTCTGATCGAGCAAGCCTTCGAGGACAGAACTTAATCCAAGCCCAGGAGTTGGTACAGCCAAAGTGACGGTGGTGAACAACAAGGCAGCAAGGATGGCAGTGATGTTAATGATTCGGACCATGGCTGAAGTAAAGTTGAATGAATGAGAGATGAGTGTACAGCAAAGAGATGCTGAAAGGCAGCCATTATGTTCTTGGCATCGAACATCTGTGAGGTGAGCTCGGGAATGGTGACAGCACGGTATTGGTGGCTACCGTGAGCAGTTAATGGAGCAAAACTGGTCATGAAGAAGTGGAGACGAGGGAAGGGAACTATTGGGGACCGTGAGGTTGAGCAACGCCAGAGGTTGAAATCACCACTCACCCATGTTCATGGCCAATTTTCTTAGTCAGAGTTAAGCTGACCAGGGAAACGCAAGCAGGTTGTAATACCGGACATGACAAGAGACACAATGTGGTTGAGGTCACTGTATGTCGGTGTCAAAAGCTTGAGAGTCCTGAAGCAATTGTCATAAAGGGCTTCATTATTGACACAGAAAGTTTCGTCGGAGTTTTCAACAAGCTGGTGGACTGAAAGTGTGGCATTGTAGGCTAAAAACAACAGATCGTAAGAATCATCCTTTTGAAGAGAAGAAATTTTCATAACTCAACAACAGTGTCGGAGACTTTTGGACTGGGAACAACCAAGTACATGCACATCATACGATTGGGGTATTCCTCACAAATCTTGGAGATCAGCAGCATACCCATACCGGCACCAGTACCACCACCAAGTGAATGGGTGATCTGGAAGCCTAATGAAATTGATGAGCTCAGTTGGTTTGACAGATGGAAGATGGCCTACCTTGGAGGCAATCAGTAGCCTCGGCCTCCTTGCAAACAATGTCCAGCACCGAGTCTATGAGCTCTGCACCTTCCGTGTAATCTAAACAAAGTAAAAAACACGTCAATAAGGGAAGTTCGGAAAAGATATATATGCACGTCCTTTGGCCCAATTGTTACCAGCACCAGACTGTCCAAATACAAAGTTTTTGGGATGGAAAAGACCACCCAGAGGACCAAAGCGGACAGAGACCATGGTTCCAGGCTTGAGATCAACGAGGATGGCACGAGGCACGTACTTGTTGGCACCCGTCTCAGTGTAGTAGACTGAGATCCTTTCTAGCTGAAGGTCGTTGTTTCCCTTGTAAAGACCATTGGGCTCGATGCCATGCTCATCTGACACGACCTAGAAAGCTTTTTC